CCGCAACCCCCGTAGGGCCCCGCTGCTGCCCGGATCCCTCCCGTCTGAGTTCTGGCTCCGCCGCTGCCTCTGGCCCCGGGGCTCCCTCGGGCTGCGCTGGGTTCCCGGGAGGCTCTGATCCCACCGGGGCTTTTCCCGGGCAGGGGGGGGATCAGCTCCAGGACCCCCCTGCACAGTCCCCGTCTCGGTGCGGGCCCTGGAGCTTCTATCCCCCGACTCGAGGAGGTGTTGCGCGGAGGAGATGGTTCAGTATTTGCTGTCAGGGAGCCGAATGCTCATTCAGAATCTCATTCATTATTTGTTTGCCGTGGCCGGAGGTGCCGGTCTGGGGGAGCTGCTTTGCCCGGCCCTTGGCCGAGCTCTGGAGGGAGCAGCCCGGTGCCCTTGTGCAGACGGAGCCTCTCTGCCCGCTCTCCTGGGCCGGGCGGTGGCATTTCCCTGCCGGGATGGAGAGCTGGGGCTCCAGCAGCTGCTGGGGGTTGGGGGGCAGTTGTGCCTTGGCTGGTGGAGCCCGGGGTGCAGGGCTCGGCTGGAGGAGTTGGGCTGCAGGGAAATGGGAAGATCTGTGTCTGTTCCTCCCTCCTTGATCTGCCTCACTGTGTCCCTCGCCCTGACTTCAGCAAGGAGGCTGCTGGCCCTCTTGGGGTCCAAGGGCTGGTCCCTGGGCTCCCCGCGGCTGTGTTTGTCTCCCCAGTTGCTCCTGGTGCATTACTTCATTCTTTGCCAGAAGCTGCCATTTCAACCAAGTGATCTTTCCTCCTGAAATAGCAGTGCATAATAAAAAAATCAAAAGTGCATGCTTGTCATTTACTGAACCTGCTAGCAATTTCCCCATTTCTGGTGTTAGCACATGGATATTATTCAATACCATATTTTAGTGCTCCAGTGATCCTAACAGATACCGTTCTGTGTTCCATTTTATAGTCTTAAAAAAATAATAAATTAGCTTACCAAGTTATTAAAGGACAAAACATAAGCTACTAACAAAATGAGCATTAAGGCTGTAAACTAAACTGTAAACCAAATGTCCCCTGTGCCCTGCCCTGTCCAGTGGTGTGTCTGTCCCCCTTTCCCTTTTCTGTCCCTGTATCCGTTCTGCCGTCATCTTCCTCCCTCCCTGACCCGCTCTCCTGTGCTCAGACACCCGTGACCGGCCCCAGGCTGGTCGGGATGTGCTGGGTCTGATGGGCTCCAGGGGCCGGTCCCTGAGCTCCCTGAGGCCTCATTTCTTTCCCACCTTGCTGGGGACAGGCTGCAGTGTCCCAGGGGGAGCAGGGACAGGGGCTTCTGGGTGTCACGGTGGGGTCACAGCTGAGTTGTTAAAGCCAGGCCTGGTGCCATCAGCTCCCAGAACTCATCTTTTGGATCTGCTCCATCCCCTTCTCTGTGACCTCCCCACACAATGAACAGAGCAAGGGTGGTTGACCTGGGTCCAGGCCTGGCTTGAAACAGGCTTTGGCAGCAGTTGTGATCCCTTGGGCACAAGGTGCTGCTTGTTGTGAGCCAAGTGATTTCACTTTCCAGGGCTCCATGGGGGAGAGGAACGGGTTCTGCTCCAGCAGTGGGAGCGTGGAGGAGCCCCTGAGTCCCCCTGATGGAGGGGCGTCCCCCCACCTGGAGGTGTCCTGTGGTGGGACGGTGTGTGAGCCAATGCAGGCAGGACGCAGGAACAACCAGGAGACCGCAAATAAAGGAACAGAACAAGTTTAATCTTGATACCTCACAACTCGGGGAGTCCCCGAAGCAGCACCCAGGTGGAGACAGGCAAGCAGGGACCGCAGGGACCGCAAAGCCAGTAAGAGTCCTTGTGAGCCAGCCAGCCAGCCTCCTTGCTGTTTGTTTGTTAGCCAGCTAGCCGGCCAGCGTCCTTGCTGTCTGTTAGTTAGCCAGCCCGCCAGCCTCCTTGCTGTCTGTGTGTTAGCCAGCCAGCCTCTTTGCTGTTAGGCTGTTAGCCCTATAAACTGTGGGTCTTCGCCCCCCGCCTTACCTCTCTTCCCACCCAGCGACCGCTGCTGCCCTGGAAAGGGAAAGGTGTTAATACCGCGGCTTCGGGGCACCAAACCCCACCCCAAGTCTGCTCCGAACGTGATCCCCGAGCAACGGGACTGAAAGTGATGAAATTGCTTCACAGCCACGTGACAGGGTTCCTGAACCACAAATGATTTACCATATGATTTTCACCCAAACCCGGGGCGGGGCCGGGCGGATCGTGAGGGGAGGGGCGGGTTCTGAGGGAGAGTTCAGGCGGCGATAAATAGTCAGATCGGGTGGGCGGCCAGGGATATAAATACAGACTTTATCCGCCGGTCTGGCGTGACGAGCGGAGCAGTTTGTGTGCGCGGGCTGACTCGGTGTAACCCGTGGGGCAGGTAAGGCCCGTCCATGGGCACTGCTGGGGCCCCGGTCGCTCGTTGGGGGCTGTGGGGAAGGGCTCCCGTCGGGCTGGGGCTCCCCGTGCGCCCCCGCCATCGCCCGCCTCCCTCCGGGGCCGGGGAGGCAGCGGCTGGTGGTGGCCTCCCCCTGCCCGCTGTGCCCTGGGCGGGTTTTGGGGTCTGCGGGGTCCGGAGGAGCCCTTGGGGTCAGCTGTGTCCAGCTGCGGGGGGGCCCTGGCCCCAACTTCTGTAGGGCTCCGCTGCTGCCCGAATACCGCCCCTCCCCGTCTGAGCTCGGGCTCCGCCGCTGCCTCTGGCCCCGGGGCTCCCTCGGGCTGCGCTGGGTTCCTGGGAGGCTCTGATCCCACCGGGGCTTTTCCCGGGCAGGGGGGGGATCAGCTCCAGGACCCCCCTGCACAGTCCCCGTCTCGGTGCGGGCCCTGGAGCTTCTATCCCCCGACTCGAGGAGGTGTTGCGCGGAGGAGATGGTTCAGTATTTGCTGTCAGGGAGCCGAATGCTCATTCAGAATCTCATTCATTATTTGTTTGCCGTGGCCGGAGGTGCCGGTCTGGGGGAGCTGCTTTGCCCGGCCCTTGGCCGAGCTCTGGAGGGAGCAGCCCGGTGCCCTTGTGCAGACGGAGCCTCTCTGCCCGCTCTCCTGGGCCGGGCGGTGGCATTTCCCTGCCGGGATGGAGAGCTGGGGCTCCAGCAGCTGCTGGGGGTTGGGGGGCAGTTGTGCCTTGGCTGGTGGAGCCCGGGGTGCAGGGCTCGGCTGGAGGAGTTGGGCGTCAGGGAAATGGGGAGATCTGTGTGTGTTCCTCCCGCCTTGATC